ATAGCTAGTACAGAGGCCTGCATCAGAGGAAAGGTTGTCACCAGTTTCCTATTCCTACAAGCAATCATTCATTTTCCTGCTCTGCTGACATGAAGAAAGCTTGCAGTTACCAGTATTGTGTTAACTGAATCATTGTCTTCCTTTACCCTTTTCAGGATGCCGAGGGCCAGACAGGGTTTTGCTTTTCAAAGGCACCATGGGAAAGGGTGAGCTATACTGAGAGGCCAGGTGGGGCTTTGGCAGATAGAGGGGTAGGAAAGACTGTTGCTGGTAGATATTCGAGTCTGCAAGGAGCAGGATGTGTGCAGGACCTGAGACTAAGCACACATTCCCATCTTATGAGCAGACACCGAGTGTTTACCACAGGCTGAGAGAGAATGGTCGAAAATGCAGGACTGGGTCTTTTTTCTTGTATGCCTGCTGTCAGTGTGGGCAACCACACCAATGCACAGGATGATACCTGGACATTGTGAGCTCAGGGATGGCCACTAGTACTCACTTCACATGTGGTGCTCAATGGGTCATTGAAAATGTGCTGAACGAATGGAGGAGTGATCTGTAAGCTGATGTGTATGTTCAGGAGTGAGTCAACAACCAAAGCTCCCCAAACTCTGCCGAGCCATATGAATAAGGTGGAAAACAGATGTCCTTCAGATGACCAGGTCAGAGGTACAGGATGATGGTACAAGTTGATACTGGAAACAGGAGTGAGAAAAACAAAAAAAAGCAGGAAGGGGGCGTTTCTGGTAGAGCAATGGAAAAGCCCTAAGGTTGGTGGACTAGGGAGAAGATGAATGTAGGGTTGAATGTAGCCAAGAAAATGAGCTGAGCCTGTGGGCTCCCAGGTGCTTAGATCTGAGAAATACTAACTGCTCCTGCTGAGGCCTGTCTGGGCCCCATGAAGCAGGTAAGATGTAGGGTCCTAGGCACCTTGTAGGCCTGATGTCCCACTAAAGTTGTACAGTGGGCCTGGGGACAGCTGTGGCCAGGATGATGGAGGAATTTCTACAATAATGGGATTGGGCTTAGCTTTGTATCTCAAGATACAGAGATATAATCAAGTTCTACTGAAATAACAAACTGTTCAATACCAAACATTTTCAGTCATTAAATATGTAATTTAGAAACACAACAGCCTATTTGTGCTATTTGTCTGGAAGTGCTGACTTCTTTGACGCAGGATTGTTTGTTAAGACATTAGGCATTGTTGCAGTGTTATAGGAGGCTGGGTTTATTGTGGGACCGTTAGCAGAACTAAAGGGTCAGATGTAGGTGTGGAGGTCATTTTTGTGGGGGAAGAGCACTCTGCCCTAAGTATCCTGTATCACTGCCTGTGGTTGTTGTTGTAGGGGACCGTTTGTTTGTTTCCTGGCTGCCCAGACTTCTGAAAGAACCACACAGAAACTGTATTAATTAAATCATTGCTTGGCCTTTAGCTTTATCTTCTTATTGGCTAACTCTTACATATTAATTTAACCCATCTCCATTAATCTGTGTATCGCCATGTGGTTGTGGCTTACTGGCAATATTGGGCATCTGTCTCTGGCTGTGCCTCCATAGCTTCTCCCTGACTCCGCCCTTTTTTCTCCCAGCATTCAGTTTAGGTTCCCCCCCCCCCCCCGCACTAGCTCTACTCTACCCTATCACAGGCCAAGGCAGTTTCTTTATTAACCAATGGTATTCACAGCATTTCCATAAACTAAGTGAAACAACACACACTATTTTGTAGAACTAAGTGCATCAAAACCATGCATATTTATTATCTTACAGTTCTGTAGGCTGAGAGTCTGGTTCATGTCTCACTGAGTTAAAAACAAGGTATGAGCAGAGCTGGCTTCTTCTGCGTTTCCAGAGAAGAATCTCTGATCTTTTCTAGTTTCTGCAGGTCTCCTATATTCTTTGGCTTAAGGTCCCTTCCATCTTCACAGCTCACAATGGCTAGGCTAGTTTTTCCCCCTCATATTTCCTTAAACAGATCTCATGAATCTACCTTTCTTGGTTCCATCGGACCTATTACTGGTTGTTTTTGTGTTGTTGAGACCAAATTCCTGCCAGAAACAGTATAAGGAAAGATTTATTTTGGTTCAAGGTTTCAGAAGATTCAGTCTCTAGGTGATTTAAAATGTATTGAAGTTGACAATGATTAGCCTGTCTGGGTAATTTAAGAAAATGTCCCTCTTGTTGCCTGTAATTCTTTCTTTAACCTTACCCCTCCCCCATCATGTAATTTAATATATTCACAGATTCTCAGGATTAGGACATCTTTAGGGAACATTGTTCTGTCTTCCATAGTTTGTTAGCCGTGTCCTAGAAACTGAAGATGTAAGGATTAGGAGGAAAGCTATCCAGCTACCCCAGGTACCACTGAGGAGCCTTGTGTCCTGCCCCTGTGCAGCCTCCATGGTGCAGAGTGTGCCTCCTTTTTGTTCTTCTTCTTTCATCTTTTTTCTTTTTGGTTTTTCAAGACAAGGGTTCTCTATGTAGCCGTGACTGTCCTGGTACTCACTCTGTAGACCAGGCTGGCCTCGGAACTCAGAGATTCATACCTGCCACTGCTGGGATTAAAGGTATGCACTAACACTGCCTGCATGTGCCTTCTTTACTTCCCAACATCCACTGAAGTTTTTGGGCTCAGTTTCAGTGTTTCTTCTGCCAGGTGGCTCACTTTCCCCACCTCTTTTAATGTCCTAGACAGTTGTCCTCATAATCAAGGGACCCCCAAACTGGTCCCTTTCTAAGTGTTGCCATTAGATAAAATAAGGTTTCCCCACATTGCTACATTTTAGAGCCAATATCCTATGTCTTGGGACGCTGCCCAGCATATAGTGTGATGTTTATTCACAGCCTTGTGCTGTACCCATCACCTGCTAGTAGTAGTCTGTGACAATTAGGTATCTCCAGATGTTTCAAGATGTTTCCTGGGAGGTAGTCTTGGGGGTTGAAAATTCCCAGAGGAAAGTTTGACTTCTGTCTTCTGTAGACATGACTGCTGTGTCCCAGTACCTGCAGAGGTATCACTACTTAGGAGATGTTCAACACATCCTGGCTGAATAAATTAGGGAATCTGTGTTAATTTTCCCTAAGTTACTGCTTGTGAGAATCAGATACCTGCTTTTCATAGCCCAGTTATTCTAGAAACACTTGGGATCCTTGGAGAAGTCACATTCTTAGGTTCTAATCAGAGAGTGAAATCACAATCTGGGAATCTTCATTGTTAAAGGTGCAACATCTATTTTTCCAAAAAGAATTGACTTGTTGTGTGACCTAGCAGCTTCTGTCCCTGGAATGTACCTAGAGGGATTAAAAATAGAGCCTGAAACAGATGCTTGAATACAAAAATATCCATGGAACATATATTTGCCTCAAATTAGGAGCCACTCCAGCATCCGTAGACAGACGGAGAAACCTATATTCAGGGGACAAGATGTAGTTCAGTTTGTAGAATGATTGTCTGCAATGCAGAGCTCTGAGCTCTATTTCCAAGTGCCACATAAACTGAGGGTGGTGTTGCATACCTATTATTTCAGCACTTGCATAGTAGGGATTCTTGGATCAGAAGTTCAGAGTCATATGTGGATACACAGAGAATTCAAGGCCAGCCTAGGTAGGCTACATGAGACCTGGTTTAAAAACAAAACAGAAATATGTCTGTATAACCAAATGTTGTTCAGCCCTAAAAAGGAATAAATTTCTGATGTATATTATGTTATGGCTAGACCTTAAAGACATTGTTCTACATGAACTAGGTAAGACATCAAGGAGAAATGACTTTACCAAGTATGATTCTACTTGAGACAGAAAATTGAAGAGAATGGATGGGGAAGTTTTTTTTTTAACAAATCATATTTACATTTTGGGATGACAAAAATGTTCCAGAGATGGTTAGGGGCGACATTTATACAGCAATATGAACTTCCTTTATGCTACTGAATTTTACACTTAAAACCATCAATTTATGCTATTTTATGATGCAAAAAGAGATTCTACATCCCTGCAAGCTCCAGAAATCAGTAGTGTAGGAATGGGAATAGAAACCATATGGGCCACATGAGTTCTGATGTCCCTTTCAAGTCCTTAGCAGTTGAAATGGGCATACCTACCCTAGTTCACCTGCTTTGCAGACTGATTTTCCTAGCGGATCACCCTTCTATGAGGTTGTGTGTACCACCCTCTGTAGCAACCGGGCAAGCAAACATACAACTTTATAGAGAGTAGACAGGCTTCCAAGAGGGTGCCTAGCTGGTGGGGACAGCTCATCTGGGTGTCTGGTATCCTGTTCATGGGGCAACTCTTATCCAGTTCTAGCTGGTTCTTGCCATGTGGGAAGCCTGACTATGGATAAGAAGTTCAGAATCTGAGTTCGAATGCAGAGTGTCTTTGTGTTTAAATATTAGTAACCTGTTTGCTGAAGAGCAGGCAAACAAACTACATGTGTGTCTAATTGAAGGAACCCTGCAGGGGTCTGGTCTAGTCTTTGCCTTCTGGGAGCTCACAGACTTGAGCCCTCCACTCTTCCCATCTATTACAGGATGCTCTGACCCCAATGTTTTTCTTTGTACTCTGAACCTTTAAGAGTATTAAACTTGTTACAGACAGGCCAGTGAGGGGCAGGAGCACTGGCATCTTTGAACTGATTAGACCTAAATAACTTCTTTCTTCCATGTGGCTTGGTTTCCTTCCCTGTCAAGGGGGACATAATAGTTCCTGCTGTGTAGTATAAAGAAGAGAGAGAGAGGGAAAAGGAGAGAGAGAGGGAGGAAGGGAGGGAGGGAGGGAGGGAGGAAGAGAGGGAAGAAGGGAAGGGAAGAGAGAAGAAGGGAGGAGAGAGAGAGAGAGAGAGAGAGAGAGAGAGAGAGAGAGAGAGAGAATATGTTGGACTCAGGGCATGTCACCGGCTTGATCTAAAGCCCAGAAGCTTGTGGAGAGACTCATGGGAGTGGGATGCAGGCTCTGGAGCTTTGGGCAGCACCAACATCAGTGGCATCTTTCCATTTCTGCAGGGGGTGGAGGAAAGCGCAAAGGGAAAAGCAAGAAGTGGAAGGAAATCCTGAAGTTTCCTCACATCAGCCAATGTGACGACCTCCGAAGAACCATAGGTAAGGAACACTTTAGCTGCCAAAGTCTCTGTACAACCAAGCCAGTGCAACTCAGCTAAGCAGATACAGGAATTCTGGCTCCATCTGCCATCTTTGGCTAATGGGCCAAAAATACAACCAGTATGTGTTCACTATTTGGTGTGTGCCAGGATGAACTGTTACTTCCCTGGTATCTTTGAGGCAGGTGTTGTTATTTTATTCCAGAAGGGAAAACTGAAGCACATTGACTCTTTAAATGGCCCATACTATTCCAGATCAAGGGAGAGCAAAGAAGATGGGCCATGGCTAGCTGCAGTCCCCAGGCAGAAACTCCCTGATTTTCCTAGATCCCATGCATCCTGCTCTTGGGAGGCAACTCTGTTTTAGGTTTATCATCCCTCTCACTTGGGAGGCTGGTCTTCATGATGGAACCAGCAGCCTGTTGACTCAGCCTAGTTGTCTTTAGTCCTAACATGGCCACCCCCATCAGCAGCCAGGGGCTTAGCTCCTGTAGGGACTAGCAAACACACTAAATGGGTCTGCTGAACACAATATAGCTCTGCCATCCAGATGAAAGAAGTCTGCATATTTTGCTTTACCGAGTTCATGTACTTCTTAAGAGTATATAAACATGAAATATGATTTGCAGGGATTTCTGGTTCCAAAGAGGAAGGAGTAGATGCAGTGTTCTCTGTCCCTTTCTACCAAGGGCAGTTGAGAACTCCAGGAAACATAGAAGGTAGAGCAAAGGCAGATGGGTGAGGACATTGAGATGTGTGGAATAAAAGGTTTTTCTGTTTGTCTCTGTTATGTCCCTGACAAAGTGTTGGGGGAAGCAAAGCCTGATATACTAGTGCATATGGACCAAAACACCCTTCTTCTCTAGAAAAAAAAAGAGCTAACCTGTTTCTTCTAGAAAGAAGCAGATAGGGCTAGATAGTTGGCTCAGTGGTTAAGAATAATGTCTGCTCTTTCAGAGTACCCACGTTTGATTCCCAGAACCCATATGGTGGCTCACAACCATCTGTAACTCTAGTTCCAAAAATCCAATGCCTTTTGCTAGGTGCCTTGTACACATACATATATGTAGACAAAACATCCATCACATAAAATAAAGTATTTAAAAAGTAAATGTTTAGAAAGGAGCACACAGTGCAACTTGTATACTGTACACACAGTGCAGACCTGCTTCTTTGGCTCATACCTGCATTGACAAACTCACTTAGACTTTGTTTTCATATAGCCTCTGTAGTGGTCTATAATCAGTGTAGATCACTATTACAGATAACATGGACTGAGTAGCTTGAACTATAGACAGAAATTTCTCTCTTGCCTGGTCCCGCAGCCTTTCAGTCCCAAAGAAACAAACAGAGGCTTATATTAATTATAAACTAGTTGGCCTATTAGCTGATGCTTATTATTAAGTAGCTCTTACAACTTAAATTAACTGATAATTTTTATCTATGTTTAGCCATGTAACTTGGCACCTTTTCTTAGTAAGTCATTTTCATCTTGCTTCCTCTGCGTCTGGCTGGTGACTGCGTCTCTGCCTTTCCTCTTCTCAGAACTCTCCTAGTCTGGTCACTTTGCCTATACTTCCTGCCTTATTACTGGCCAATCAGCATTTTATTAAACTAATATGAGTGACAAATCTTTACAGTGTACAAGCGCATTATTTCACAGCATTGAATAATAGATATTCACTTTTGTTTCATTCTAAATGTCCAAGATGAAAGACCATTTCTGCTTTGTAGATGGTTTCCTTATGTCCTTCACAATAGAAGGAAGCACACTTTCTCATTCCTTTTCCTGTTAGGGCTCTGTTCCCATTCATATGGCTCCTCTCTTAATCCATTGTGTTGGATATTAGAATTCACCAGGTGTATTTTGATCATGATGCAGATATTCAGTTCATTAGTAACCTGATCCTAGATCCCAAGTCTTCTTCCTTTCTACTTCTGTTCTCTGAGGGACATGTAGCTTCTCTTTTGAAGGGAAGCTAATTGTCCCTACCTAGACTCCAGCTATACCCAGGTATTTCATACAAGTTTAGGGGCTTAGATGCCTTCATTGCACCCTTCTGTCCGAGAGGGCTTCTTGCTTATCCTTCAACTGCTGGCTCTCCTATTCTGTTCACTTCTGGTTTTGAGGTCTGGGAGCACAAGATTGTACTGTCAGAGTTTCCTGGACCATGAACCCTTATCCAACAGTTCCAGCCCTGTTTAAGTCCATCTTCAAGTCTCTTGGTAGAGTCTCTACCTATGGGTATGAGAACCAGGCCTGCTGTGTGAGAATGATGTTTCAGTTCTCTGAGAGGGTGTTGAAAAGCCTCTGTGTGTTGATGTAGTGTGGAAGAGACTGGAAAAAACAGGAAGGCCGATGTAAGCTGAGGGACTGCCACACATGGGCATGGGCCAGGGATTGGGCTTCTTGCCTGTTTATAGTCTGTTGCCGTGGTGTTTGCCTAGCCACTGATGGGGTCCTACTGGAAGGGTTTCTTACATAAAAATCCCATTTCTTTTCTAGACCAATATACAAACCAAACAGTGGCAAATACCATGTTTGTTTTTCTTGTGGACACATGAGCTCATTTTCTGAAGCTCCCTGGGAAGATGTCCCCAGGCAGGCTCTGAAAAGGGCCCACTGGGCAGTGTGGGGCGGTGCAGTAGAAAGGCTGTGCATCAGAGAGAGGAGCCAACTTCACAAAGACCCTGAGATTCTGCTTAGAATCATCTAGAACAGTGGTCGCTGAATGCCACAGCCTCTCCTGCTTTCAGCCTTGCCTTGGGCAGTCACAAATCCTCTCTACCCAGACCCCGAGATGACTTAAGAAAATGACAGCTACTATTCTGTTGCACCCACACCCACATTCACTTTGCTACCCTGCTTGGAATGAACCTCTAACTCTGACCTGTGGGTTGTAGGTCCTAGATGACAACAAGCTTAGGCTAGGGTGAAGTCTCTGGACCCCTTTTCAGAATAATACTTTTTACATATGCAAAATGGAATATATAGAGTTACCAAGGAAATCAATTACTTTCAAATACAGTTATTAAATACCTTTAAAATATAAAATATAGAAATGTGTGTGTTTTTTGTTAATACTTGAAATAACGAGGTTTAATAGCTGGTTAGTAGCTATTGTGGTTTTACATCTATGATGAGTATAAATGGTATTTTTGGATATCTGCAGCAACTAAGATACGCATGACTATGCAGTTTCTGTTGGTAACAAGTCCCAGGCACTGCTAATATCGCCGTGGGTATTGTCTACCTTTGTAATCAAAGGAAGTGTGAATTTTTAGGTAGACCTTGGTGAAAGGCTGTGTGATATATTCCTCCATGGGAGGCCACAGACCCCTGGCAGCACCGTCTCTCCCTTGCCTTCTGCAGTCAGCCCTCAATGTCCTTGGGTCATTGTCTCCTTCATTCACAGATACTCTGGACACTTGGTTGTCCTGTGAATTCCTTAAGCTTGTTTTTTAGCTCTGGGGTCTTTGCCCTTGCTCTTCCCTTTACCTAGGATGTTATTTCCCACACTTTGTTTTGCCGGAGTACTTTAAGGTCCCAGAAGAAATGTTACTTCCAAAAAGAAGCCATCTAAAGAAGAGCCTGCTATACTTGCATTTTTTTTACATAGAGCTATTTATTAAATGGTCTGTGCTCATAAACCCATTTGAAGTCATCTTCGTTTATTCATTCATTTGTGTGTTTTCTGTCTTTTTCACTGGACCAACTGTTCTGTGTTAGAAGTGGCTGTGTTTTACCTGGTTCACTCCCTAAGTACTGCCTGGCACATACTACGGCTTATTAAATATTGGCTGGATGAAGAATGACACAAAATATTTAAATTAGGGCTCTTTAAAAAAAGTTTATGACATGTATTTGCTCTGACTAAATTTAACCTCAGCTAATGTTTTTGACTTAAAGTAATGAAAGTTTTTAGACTTAGGGGTTTAAACTTGAAAGTATCTAATTTAATACTTTTCTCTATTCCTTTCCTCAAAGATAAGAAATACCAGGATGGTTTTAAGACCTAAGCCATGATCTTTTTTGTACAGTTTTAATGCAGGAAAGGAGGTCTGGGATAAAATCAGGTTTATTTAATACAGTGCACTCACTGTACAGAAATGAATCAGTGACACCACTGCTGGTCCAGCTGTTGCTGCCTCTTGCTTCCAAGGGAGATGGGAAAGATCTGGAGAAGGTCACCAAGCCATGGCTTCAGTGAGCCCTCCACAGTCCAAGAGTGTGTGCCCCTTACCCCCACTCCCTGGGTTTTATTGGGTCACATATTTCCAGAGAAGACCATGCCCGTTGGGCTAAGTCATCCTAAACAATTGCCCATTGGACCGAATTCCCACAACACTGTTTAGGATGGTAAACCTGGGTTCCTGTCTCAGTCTGGTGCGGGAGAATTATCTGTATTTTGTCAATCATGTATTTTATTAAAACGCTGATTGGCCAGGCAGGAAGTATAGGTTGATCAACCAGAAAGGAAGTAGAGGCAGGGCGATGAGAACAGGAATATTCTGGGAAGCAGGAAGCTCCCTCTGCCATTCCTGCCCAGATCACCGAAGAAGCAACATGTGAGCTGACAGCTGAAAAAGGTACCAAGCCATATGGCTAACATAGATCAGAATAATGGGTTAGTATAAGCTATAAGAGTTAACAAGAAGCCTGAGCTAATGGGCCAATCATCTTTATAACTTATAGAGATCTCTGTGTGATTGATTTTCTCTGGGACTTGCCGGCTGTGGGGTACTGGGCGGGAACAGATACCCCAACAAGCCGGCCCTCATGTTACATCAGTCCATGGCCTTGTAAAGCTACAACTTGGGTGCTTAGTACAGTAATGTTAGTTTTATAGAGAATTCCTAACTCAAGGAATTTGGAATATGCTGTCTAAAACCTCTTTTCCAGTTTATAAGTGAGTGGGCAGGCTTTCAGAGCTAAATGATCCTCATCCTCCCAAGACAGTGTAATTCCTTGGCTTTGAACTACAGCTTTCCACTCCCTAG